ATTGTGAAACAGCATGGCTGAGGTAGCCAGGGGTCCAGGCCCCTCTCTGACTAGACAGCTCTGCTCTGTCTTGCACTGGCCTGTTTTGCTCTTGCTCCAGCAAGACATGGTGTTTTCGCTTCAGCTGGAAAATGCAATCTTCAATAGAAAGGTAAAGTGTGCTCTCAGAGCCAGAGGGGAGCTGACTTATGTAGACAGAAGTCTCTGCCCCTGATCGCTATTTGCTCTGATATCATTCAAGTAAGGGCTCCGATTTCTGAGGGAATCAGTCCAAAAGGTACTGTCCTGATTGGTCAGAATAGAGGAGGTCTGATTGGTCAGTGAAGAAGCTGATGGCTGTATAGATGTGCAGCTTTGATTGGATGGGGAAAGCCTCCATTGTACTGGTTGAAATAGGATTCCAGGAATGTTATAAGGGCTGGCTCAGATAGCAGAAACAGTGCAGGCAGGCAGTTCAGTGAAAAGATAGGTAGTTCAGTGAAGGCTTCTCCTTAAAGAGCAGTTTGCATGAGAGGCCCCTGTGCAGAAATGGCTGCTAGGCTCTGTTTTAAAATTTTGAACCCAATTAACCACAAAGAGCCCTTCTAAGTAAGTATCTTCTTTCTCAGGGTTTACAGGTGTGACCATGGAGGTGTGGTCCAGATAGGGTGGACAAAATCTTCATACCCCTTCACTCTGGGGGGTTCCAATCATAATAGAGCTATTAATCTCATTATGACGGTGAGAATCTGACCTTCACCCACCTGTGGAGTTCACACTAGAAGAATAAAAAAGAAATTTCCGTCAACAGATATTGGTATGTTGTTATTAAAATGCCCACAGACAATGAGATGAAGAGATTGCAGTTTAACAATTTTTCAGCTGATTACCATTTTTCATCAAGAAAATAATGAAGAAGTCTATCATGAAGAATTATAGGATGAGCAGTACAGCACCTGTTTTAGGGAATCTGGAATCAGAAATATGAATTCTTTTTTCCCAAAATATGCTAGCTGGAAAACTCCCTCATCAATCACTTCAGGAGTGTTTTTCTCCAAACAAATGACCTTTCACATGGGGCCACCTGCCTTCTCTGAATCAGGATGCTGTGCTGGTGCAGAGGGAAATACATTGATGTGTTAGTCTGGATTCTCCAAATTGGAGATTCTACTGGTGTCAGAGACACAGACCAATAGGACATATATTAATCAGGGACGTCTGCTTCTGTGTCTTTATAGAACCTTAATATGATGGATGGATGAACAGATATAAATACCAATATAGATATCAAAATAGGCATCTTGATATATAGTATGGGTATAGATATAGATACAGCTTAGGTACCAGTATAGCAATAAAGATAGAAATAGAGGTATAGGAAAGAGAGAAAATGGGGTATTGCCTGTCTTTTCTATAGAAAAAGGTTTTTGACCCCACCAAAATTTCTCAGCTGACTCTTAGAAAAATGTTACTTGTAATATAAGTGTCCTGTTTCATCATTGCTACATAAGACAAAAGATAAGTCCAAGGATGCAAAGAGCCACAAGAAGTCATGAAAGAATACAGATGTTCCTCACTTAACCTTCCTCTGAGAGACATGTGTGTAGTCCTGTCTTTGCCACAATAATTCCAGGTAAGGTGCACTGTCATGTTAAAAGGAAAGGGAGAAATTTCTCAACTTTTCTCTGAAGTTCTGTGCTAGAAGTCTATTCCCTTGCTCTCTGGAAGCACTACCACCTCCAGCTGATACCTTCTACTTCCATGAAAGTTTGTTCTTTAAAACATACACCAGGAGCACACTTGGAAAAGAGGGCATTGGGTTAACCTGAAAAAAATACACCTTTCTGTCTCTTACTTGTTTCCTCTTCTAAAACTGTGTTTCTGTGTATGTGTGTGGAATGATGGGTGGATTGGTTTAGGGCTCATGACCAAGGCACAGGCGCCCCCTACTGGGAAGGTAGGTAAAGTGACTTCAGGCCTCATCTTGCAGTGGCAGAGCTAGGAAACTGATAGCATTTTTGGATGCATTAATTTCCCGTTGAAAACACTTGCATGGGATTAAAAAAAGAAGAAGAAAAGAAAAAAGAAGAACAAACAACAACACACTTGGATTCAAGCACAGGGTTTTGTGAAATTTGAGTAAAAAGGATGCCAGGTAGAGGCATCCTTTTTACTCAAAGCTCAATCTGTGAATAAAAAGAAACTATTCACGAGATTTTTTTCTTGCGTTCATTATAAAATGGGGATATGTAACTAAAGACAGCCATTTATAAAAGCAAAGGAAACTGACAATTTCTGGAACTGTATTTATCTTACTTTAGTTTTTCTAATGCCTGTGTTTCTATATATAAATTAGTCAAGCATTTCAAAATGGCATCCAAATCCAGAAAACTTAAATCTTTATGCAGTCTTTATAAACAGGAAGTTGCATTAAAAACATTATTTTGGATGATGGCCAAGATGATTGGAGTTGAATTCCATTCTCTTTTAAAAATACATACTAGAAAAGGTTAAGAGTGAATGCCTTGCCAATTCTATTTTCTGCTCCACTGCCGATTGAACAAACAGATTTTCAATATGCAAAGGCCGGCCCTCGGTGGCAGGAAATCAGAGAGGAGTGGTGTGAGCATCCTGCATAGACTGCATGCATCATGCTTCTCCTTCGCAGCTCTCCAGTACAGCGTGTGCTCCCTGCTTCCTAAACAAGTCATTGTGAAACTGGCATCCTGAAAGCTGACCTGCAAAAGGGGCTCATGACCTTTTTACAATACACTTCATTATAAAGTGAGGACCAGGGTTGTGCTTGTTTTTCTCCATATCTCTCCCCCAGCTGATCACACATCTCTGGAAGAGATCTGACCCTAGACTTCCTGCCACAACGGATCCCAACTCTGCTTTTCTAGATGTTTCCACATTAAGGAGACTTTGGAGGAAGTAAACACCCTATAAATGGCAGGTTCTCCACCTCACAACCTCTTTCCTCTTTTCAATGTCCCCAGGGTGAGGTAAAAGCAGATTGAGACAAACTTTGCCGGGAACAGAATTTTCTTTTCTTAGAAAGGGAGGCTGGGGATGGGGGAGGAGAGAGAGATATGTGTGTGAGAGAGAGGATGTGAGAGAGATATGTGCCCTAACTGGGAATTGAATGCCTGATCTTCCAGTGCAAGGATGATGCTCTAACCTACTGAGCCACTCTGGCCAGGGGCCAGCAGCTCAATTATTAATGGGAGTTTGCCGAAATGACAGTAGGGCTTGGGCCTTATGCTTGGTGGATACAGGGCTGTCCCAAAGGTCCTCCTCACCTTCCCCTTAACCTTCCTTGTGACCAGGTCGGCTGAGTGCACTGGAAGGGGGCTCCACTTAACAAAAGAAACCACAGTAGGTTAAGTGCCTTTTTGTGAAAACTCCATCTTCTTTCTCCAGAAACATTTCTCTCCCAAAAAGGTGAAACATCAAAAAATATATAGAGATACCGGTCAGAAGGCCTTACTCCCCACAGAAACTCGGAGTATTTCCCAATAGTTTTCCTATGAAGGAAATCTCTGGAGGTTACACTTGGTTTGTCCAAATATTTGCAAACGAGACTATTGTTTTCTATTAAAACAAAGTGAGTTCTTGACCATCTCTCATTTCCTAGTGGTTGATGGGCAGACCAAGGTGGGGCTTCCCTACTGCATGGGAAAGGTGCTCTGGGGGAGGACACCTGAGATGTGGTCTTATCCTTTTTTGTCCTTTGTTTTGCTAACATCCAGCCCCCTTTTATTGGCCCACACAATCAAAGTCACCTTACGTGTGGTGCAAAACTAAGCAGTGCAGACGAAAGGCCAGTGACTCGGTCACCTCATAACACATGGTTGCCTCATCATAAACCACATGTTCTGCCTCTAAATTCCAACTGAAACACTACTAGGTGCATTTCTCTTAAAGAGCTGTCAAAATTTTTAAATGTGATTATTCTTCAAAAGTCAGAATCGTTGCTCCATTTGAGGTTTCCCTGCATTTGTATTAGAGTTGGTTTGAAAAGTCTGATACTGGCTTGGATTTCAGGGAATCATAAAACAGGCCTGAGTTAGGAGTTCGGTATATGAGTCCCCATGGGATGAAAGTTGGGTAGAGAAAGTGGCCTCAGACCACATTACATGCTACCTACTGGCCAGCCCTTCACTTCAGACTATGCGCCCCATCAGTGGGTCAGAGCCCTGCTGGGCAGGCACACAGCACTCCTGACTCTAGGTCAGGCACCCCTCTTCTCCCTTCCTCCCTCCCTCTTTTTATCATACAGAATCCTGGGGTCAGAGCAAAGGGACAGCCCTCCACAGCAGTCTAGCACTCTAGGGTTTGGTGGGAACTCACTTTGAAAATATGTTTCACTTCATATAACCTGAAGTCCTCCCTTCACCATGGCTCCCGCCCTAGGGCAGAACTTCCAAGCAGAAATGCAAGCATGGAAATGCAGGCACACAGAACCTGATTCCACAATGGCAGGGTGAGCAGAGTAAGGAGATGAGCACAAGACACCTCCTATGTTATCTACCTTCTGGGATTATCAGAAGAAATGGGTGGAGAAGAGCAGTGAGGTCCTGACATTGCGTTACATGGGGACAATTGGAATGGCCATTCCCTCCTGCCCCCAGGATGCCCCGGGCCTGAGGGTCTTTGGAGGGAAGTTGCTGTCAACAGCTGGAGATAGAGCTGCCCCCGGGAGAGAGGGATGAGAGGGAGACGGACATTCCAGTGTGTGACCTGTTTTAATATTTAATTTACTACTTGCATACAACACATGAATAACATGAAAAGATTAAGTAATAAAATACATTGGATTATAATTTATACTATTCAAATGAAAATGTAATAATACAAATTTACATATAAAAACACGACAATCACAAGAGGCAGTTACTCTGGGTGCCAAGGTGTGCTGGGTTCAAGGTGGACATTTCAACATCCTGCTGTTCTCTTAAGTTTTGTCAGTTGTACACTCATGATTTAGGGTGAGATTACTTCACAGCAGCAATCAATAACTATTTGTTAAGAAAAAACATCCCTACAGACGACACACACAAAAATTTAAAAGGGACCAGGCTCAGTTCAAGATGAAGGCAGTTACCACGCTGTCCTCCACTTGCTCCCAAATTTCCACTGAAATGAACCAAGAAGGGGGACAATTGGGGAACCGATGTAGGAACTGGCTGGGAAGGCAGAGAGGCAGGTGCCAGGCTGGATAGGATGGCAGCAGCTCTCAGGTTCCCCAACTGCTGGTGGACTCCATACACCTCAACACTAGACTCCCACTTTGGCATTTGTGGGTCTGGGGTGAGGCCATGCCCTTTGAGAACCACTGTTCTGGAGGCCCACCAGCCAGGTGTCCTCATCCTGTCCCCATGCACATCCCCTCAGAGGATGCTGGACAGTACTACTCTCTCTGCAGGAGAATTAGAGGTCCATCTGGCCCCAAGGTAAACCCTGGCATGCAAGGGATGGGGAGACAGGGGAGGCCCAAGCAGCGCCCTCCAAGATCCTAACACTGCTCACAAAACCCCAAAGTCCATAAAAGCAAGCAAATGCTTTCATTTTCATAAAACTGAATTGTAGCATTTCTCAATGGCACTTCACCCACAATTGTCTTTGTTTACATAGAACCATGTAACTGAAAATGTGCTGGACAAACTGATCATGATATAGTGACTGGTTTTCAATTCATAAAAGCAAGCACATCTTAAACATCTCTTCAGGGGCTGGAAAAAGAACGGAAAACAGTGAATTTCCCTAAGCAAGTGTCAGGCAAGTGGAAGAGGAGTGTTTAAATGAATGGCTATCTTACCTTCAAAACTCTCCTCAACTTCTAGGATACTCCTCATTGAGCCCTTTCTTGCAATTGTAGTCTTAGGTAAATTGAAGCTCTATTCACTCTAGACTCTTTACAATGTGGTTCTACATAAGAATGTGTTGGAAATGTTATTTGAAAAAAAAAAAATTAAGATGTCCAATGTGGACAGGATTTCTTAATTGCTTTTATATCAGACTGATCAGGAGAGTGCTCACTGAACCTTCCATCCATTATCACTCATCCACCTGCCACTGCTTCATTTTGTTTTTTAGTAAAAACATTTTGCTTTAGGATCAAAAAATATCCAGGAAAAAATTTGAGCAAATTGGGGGTTAAGGGGGGTGGGTTCTCTCTCAAATGACATTATCCTTTGTAGTTTTTCGCCAGCCTAGTTCACGGGCGAGTCTGCAGTGCCCTCTAATGGCCACAGTGCAGCTCTTTATCCCCAAGTACAGATCCTGTTCCATCCATATTCTCTTATCAAAATAAGCCACCAAGTGGGAAATTACAGCCTGAAGTATCATCTACCAGCTGACTTTGTGCTTGGAATGATGTTGGGCCATCCCTAGAAATGTGCTTCGTGAAGTTGTCCATAAAGATCATTGTCATTGGCCACTGGCCATCGCTCTCCCTCACAGCCACTACCCCACTGGGAACAGCTCCTCAGGCTCCTGGGCTGTTACCACTCCGCTGGCACGAGAGTCACTGCAGGGCAGCACGCCAGCCTGTTGTGCCCAGCTTAGGTGCCCAGAACCTGTGCTAGCCTAAAGGCCCAACTCCAGGTTTATTCACTTTTTAATTTTTTTCAAATGATAAAACCCTACAACAACATTCTGTTTGAATATCAGAAATTAAATTTATTAATAGCTTAAACTGCTTCACCCTCTGAGGGTGAAACAGCACCACAGGCAAGTTCAGGCCCATTTATCATCGGGTCACAACACAGAGCAGACAAACTCTTAGTTGGTGAAGAATAGCAACAGCAGAAAGCGTTAGGTGTTACTTATTCTCCACTAACTAAAAACACATAAAATTGCTGAGGTTAAAAAAATGTTTTGAACATTTTTAACAAATTCATCCACTAGGCAAATTTAAAAAAAAAAAAAAAAGAAAGAAATGTGCCTTCAGACCCGCTCTTCTCTTCCTGACTGACCTCCCTTTCACTTTGATCACTCTAAGCCAACTGTTATGTGGTAAATGCTCACTGAGGTCAAGCACCCAGAATGCAAAACCCAACCTGGTTGGCTCGCACCACCCAACCCTGCAGCTTCAAGCACAGATGGCCAATGCCTGCTTTCTTCGATCTGGCAAGGAAACAACCAAGGTACTACTACACCACCACCTCCTGCCCTCTGGGGTTTCCTCCTCTGCCCTCTGGGAAGTTTTCTCCCTTGGTGCGTGCAGCGTGCACGCACCCCCCCCCCCCCCCCGACGGTTTTAAATAGCTTCCACACACTTATCAACTTCCTAACTTACACTTGATCTTGTCTGACCTCCAGCCTGCCTGTGAAGGCTCCTGCCCCTTCCACTTGGATGTCTTAAGAGCCCCGTGTCCCAAACCAGCATCCAGGATTTGTGATTCCTACCACCAACCTGTGTAGCTGTGTCTCTCCCCGCACCCCCCCCCCCCCCCTTTCCCCAGGAGCCCAACTCAGTAACCTGGAATCTTGATTCCTACCTGTCCTTACCCAGTTCAGGAACTTAGCACTGATTTGACCTCCAGAAGACATATGGAATCCATCTACCATGATAATCTCTGCCCTACCTCCTGAAGGTCCCTCTGCTTCAACTATTGCCCTTCTCACACCCTTTTATCACAGAACAGCCTGTGAACTGTAACCTCAGGTGACATCTATGCTTAATCTCTGCACAAGCCCAAGGCTGCCTAGATCCCAGGGGCTGGCAGTTACCTGTATAACTGGACAAATGACAATTGTCCCTTAAACAGAATGCCTGGCTCTATCAGCCTCATTTCTGCACACAAGAGGCTCTTTCCCTCACAGTGACACTCACCTGACCAAGGGATACCCTACTTTCAAGGTTGGCTGGCTCCCTTCTCTCAGGTCCTGACTCAAGTGTTATTTCCTCAGAGGAACCCTTCTTAACCAGCACCTAGGAAGAGAACATTCTACCCTGCTATTCTATTGCAAACCTCTATGGTGGTTTTTTTTTCCACCAAACACAACAAAATTTTCAACTGTTGACTTATTAGAGTGACGACTTAGGATTTTTCTCTACCAATAGATCACAGGTCTTTGAAAACTTGTTTCTCACTGCCTGTTCACAAGGACCTCCCAGCGAGGAACCGGCAGAGAGCACATGCTCAATAAATACTGGCAGAAAAGTGAATGCAGCAAACAGCAGCTTCTAAAGGGCTACAAAGAATTGTTCATAAATCTGTTTTCTGTTACAATTACTTAAAAAACACAAAGGAGTAAAATAAAACACTTGTCAAATGTAATTTGTAAAGGGCAGCAACTGTAATTAAACATATCTAGTCAGGAGGCCAATCAACACTTAGGAGTCTGGTCTCTGCTAGCACTGAGCATCGTGGAGAACTCACAGCAAAATGTTGGTGCAGCAGCACGTGTCTATGCAGAAGCGGGGTTTCCTTCCGAATGGCAGTCGTCTTCACTGATCAGAACAATAATGTACATGGCTTACTTTTATTTTTTATTATAAAAAAACACATACAAGAGATTTAAGAAATGATGGATATAAGACAAATCAGAACCACGGTGAGTTATTAAACCCATTTTCTCTGTACAAATACTAAAATTCCGAAAGCGGAACATCATCGAATGTGACACACATTATCGCACTGTCCCTATGTACACGGCGAAGGGCTCTGGATGCCTCTGAATCCGTATGTACACGTCCTGAAACAGACCCTGCAGTGGACTCGACTTCTCAGACTCCTTTCCTGGCAGATAGTTAAATAGCTGAAGGGATTTTAGTTACAGAACGCTTATGAAGAAAACGCATAAAGGTGAGTTGCGGAGGCTCCCCGTTTTCTCCTCGGATCAGATGCACACTATACCATGAGAACAACTTCTGTAGCCTGTTTCCATCTAAGACAGTGGAGAGTCTTCTAGTTCGTTTTTAGCCAATTTAGTTTCTCCTAGTCATTCATTTGAATGCAAAGGCCAGAATTAACTGAGGAACCAAATCAATGCTTTCATATTAAATTCATTATAAAATGCCAGTCAATTTTAAAAAGCGACTAAAAGGGCACTTTCTGCAGCAAAAAGGGCTAAGTTCAAGTTTTTGTTGTTTGACCAAGACACAATAATACAATCCATTTGTCATGTAGTCACGACAGACGTTAAGTGATTTAAGTATGTGGTTTAGGGAAACACAGCTGTGCCACTGTGTATTTCTCCTGTCTCCTTGCCACAGCGAGGACAGCCTCTTCGCATTTTCTCTCTTGCGTCTGTTTTGTGAAACCTCGGTTTGTATTCTGAAAGCCGATTAACCTGTTCATACTCAAGATAGGTGAAGGCACTTCTCCAGGTGCAGTGCAGTGGGGCTTAGCCAAATTCCTCCGCACACAATGCACCGACTTCCTCCAGGGAGCTGACCACTGCAGATGGAACACTGTGTGCGGTCTCCTTGCGCCAGGCTTCCAGGATCTTGGATATTTCTGCTGGATTGCTGGGACTCAAGTCACAAAGGGCATACACAGCTGCTAGCTGTATACCCCATGGTATATCTGAAAAGAATTTTCATGTCCGTCATCACATAAAAACGTGTCCGTTATTCAAATTTTTAATGGTATAACCTACTGAATACTATTCAGAACATTTTCTACCACACTAAAAACTAAATATAAAACAAGATCCACAATAAAATGATTAATTTAAAACTTATCTACAAGTGGAGAAAATGAAAAAACGCAGTGCAGTTCTGCACAGGATTCTGGTGCTGGCTGTGTGCCAACAGGGGCTGGCCTGTTCCCGGAGGCACAGGGCTGTAGAGCTTTGGCCCTCTCATGTCCAGCATTAGCTAAGCCTCCCAAAGCAGTTCTGGAATTATCACACTCCCATGTTTACATTTTAACAAAAATGTGGATCCCAGAGCATTCGTCAAACAAATGACTCCATTAACTATCCACTGAAGTGTTCATAAAGGGGACTTTGGAAATGAAAATCAGAATTAAATGAGAACAAATGCAAAACTATTTCATGTACCATACTTTCACATACTACATTACAGTATATGATTATAGATTATGGCATATAATTAGATTATAGATGGGTTACTTATTATCCTAATAAAATAGTAATATGCAAATTGACCATCACTCCAACAAATAAGATGGCCACCCCATGTAGTCAAAGATCCTGCCGCCATGTGGACACAAGATGGCCACCACAAGATGGCCAACAAGGGAGGGCAATTGGGGGGGACCAGGCCTGCAAGGGAGGACAATTGGGGACGATCAAGCCTGCAGGAGAGGTCAGTTGGGGGGGGGGGGGGGGAGGAGGGAGACACACACAGGCCTGCAGGGGAGAGCAGTTGGGGGGGGGGGGGGGAGAGGGGCCA